AGACTATTGGGTGTGGATTCAAGAAATTTTGTTTTCGGAAAGTCATACTTATCGAAATTATCTAGGACTAACATCATGATGGCTCGGAAATTTTCTATCCATATTACAGAAAGTTTCATAATTTCTGGTTAATTAACCATATTGCTTTATCATAGGTTTCAGTAAATAGTGTGAAGTATTTGGGGTTTACCAGTAAATTTCTGTATCTCTTTGTTTGACAAATTCTTTGATTATGTTGAAAACTTTCATAAATTTGGAAACTTCAGTATTCTTTTAGCAACATAAAAAATCAAGTTGCAAAATAGAAACGTGACTATTGACAATGAAAACTATAAAGCAATAAACAAACAATATGTGACATATTATTTATATTGAATTTTAACTCAAGTTTGATGAATAAATGATTTGTTTCACTTTAGTTGAACAATACTTACTTTACAATTACTTAGGATCTGAGAATTTGAATCCAAAGAATCTGTTAGATAGAAAAAAGAAAGACTCAAAAATGTTCTCTCATGATAATAATAACTTTGAAGTTTTACTTTAAGTTCAAAAGTGGACACAACAGCATCATGATCAATCATTTGATGAATATTCATTCATAGTTTGACGATGAATGCCGAAAAATATAATCGATATTACTACCACATATTCATCGTTTTATCTATCTTTTACACGTGTTGAAAGACATTTATCAATACATGAATAGATTCGAATCAAAGCATTTCTCTCATTGGGTTTGCTTTTTGTTTTCTGATAACAACTTGAAAAAACATATTTCAGAAAGTCATTAGTTTCTATCAAACCATTGAAAGTGTGATTATGCAGAAAAATTCTATGAACCAATCAAATATCAGATGTGAAGAAATAATTTCATCGTCGTAAAATAATTTCTTTCACGACGAGTACGTTATGATCGAACACAAGAAAAATCAGTACCAAATCTTGTTGCATTATTCGTATAAATTTTTGTATTTCTCAATGAATAAACCTCAAGAGTATCTAGACGAAATATCACACTTACAGTTGTGCCATTAACCACAGAAATTTCTTTCTATTCAGGAAGTTGAAGTTTTGCAGATCATTCCTTCCCTACTATGGACTTCAATATTTGAGGACAACCAACATCAAAAACATTTTCTCAGCATTCTAGAATATTTGAAAGCATTTATCGAAGTTTCAATATGTTTGTGAATGTTTTAAATATTGTACTTTTGATTTTTGTGCAGATAAAAATTTTCTTTTCATTTTGATTTCTTAATTCAAAAATCGGTCCTAATTGTCGAATCATGAGAATCATGAGCATAAGTAATTATAGAATTTTCTTATTGTCATCAATATCTATTTATGAAAAATATATGAAGTTGAACGCATGAAATCCATTAGAATATTTCATAAAAAACAACAAGAAATATTCGAAATGTAATTCATCATTAAAGAATTTTTCAACTAGTAGTAGATCGGTTACTATTATAGATCAAACAATTGTCATATATAAAGAATAAAAAAATTGCTTTACTTATGCTACCACTTTTTCTGTCAATTCAGAGGTAGTCAAATGTACTTTAGCTAATAGTACTGGAAAACCTCTGAGTAATTCCTAAAAATATTAAATATAATAATTAATATGTAATTGTCCACGAAGAAGTAGATTCGATATTAGTTTGATTACATTAAATCATGTATTGTACTTAAATAAAACAATTTTAATCGAAAATTTTGAAATCGAAAGAAAGAATACAGTTAATAAACAAATAACGATGATATAATAATTCATAAAGTAAAAACTCATGTAAAATCATAAAAGAGCTTCTGGAAATTCGTTTTTATAAATTCAAATGGATGATTTCAGATCCCGAAAGCAATCAGATTTTACTGTTACCGGCAGAAAAGACATAACAAAAGACATCATATCCGATAGAAAAATATCGAAAATCAATGGAATATGACAGCAATATTCTGCATCGAACACTCTAACAATTCTTTTTCCTATTATTTATGATCGTTTTCTACAGGAACCGGTTCTTAATGTGTTTGTCTTGAGAAAATACAACAAAGAAAAAGAAAAGATTTACCCGATTGTTTGAAAATTGTTTTTTTTTTCAATTTTAAAACAAATTGATTTTTCTACCGGGTGAGTGTTTTTTCAAACAATTGTAGACGATCATACGTTTGAAACAAGGTTCCCGGAAAAACATCGTTCAACAGCACAAATAAAGCAATTCGTAAAATAAATATTGCGTTTTATTGACAATGAAACTTGTTCGAATGTAAACACGTTTTATGGTGTTACAAATGCAATTTTTCTGTGTGTGAATAAAAACAACGAGCAACAAACGAGTTTGAGCAGTCATATGGATGTGCCGTACTGAAATAAAGAATATCAAAATGATAAAAGTATTAGCATCTATTATCCTATTATGCTATCTATTCTACTTTTGTAATTGTGGAACACTATCAACTTCACAACTAGCTGAACAAACATTAATAACAACATTGTTAAATGGATATAATAAAAATATAAGACCAAATGATCAAGTATCTGTTGATATCACTGCTTCATTACAACAAATTGTGGCTATAGATGAAAAACAACAAATAATGACATCAAGTTTATTTATCTCACAAACATGGTTTGATGATCGATTATCATGGACACCAAATGCTTCAAATAATATTGAAGTAGTTATGCTACTGGTTAAAAATTTATGGATACCAGATACAATGATATTGAATTCAGCAGATGCAAATGGTTATCTTACAGTAAGCGATTATAGTTTGACATCTGTCTACTATACAGGTCAAGTATATATGATATTACCAGCATTGACAATTAGAACAAGATGTAACTTTTTTGTTCAAAAGTTTCCATTTGATAAACAAATATGCAGCATCAATCTAACATCATGGAGCCAAGGATACAATAGAATTATATATACAGAAAATCGTAGTTTAGTAATTGATACAAGTGGATATAGTGAACATCCTTTATGGAAATTGAATGGAACAGATTTGGTTGTAATTGAAGCAGCAGATAGAGCACCATTTGAAGATACTTATAATGCTATTATCTCAATACAGTTATATCTAGAAAGAAAACCATTATTTTTTATGATGAATGGTATATTTGCATGTTTGATTTTAAATTTTGTTACATTGTTATCATATGCATTACCCTTTGCACCACAAATTGGTTTATGTAAGAATATTATCTTTTCTTAAATACTAGATAGAATTCATAAAATAAATATATTGTATTTTGTATTTCAGGTATGACATGTTTTATGACATATTCTGTTTATTCACTAAATTTCTCTAATCTATTCCCACAACAATCTCAATATTTAATGATGATCACATTATACTTTTTGTTATCAATCTGTTGGACACTTATGTCAATGGTATGGTTTATCATATATAATTATTTTACAACAAAAGTCGAAATGCCAAAGTCACTTTATGTTTTTTGTGGGCTGTTACAAAGAGTGTTTTTTTGTTGTTTTTCAGCATCAAAACAAGACGACAAGACAGGTCAAAAGAAGGATATTATTGCTGAGAATGATGCGGTTAAGAAGTTTCGAGATCAAGAAAGTACAAAAACAATAAATAGTAATAAGATACAGCATTTTTCAATTGAAGATATGAAACCTATCAAAATACATGCTACTAACATTAAGCCAATTGAATCAGTAGCATTTGTAAATTTGAATGAACCAACCCAAAAAGTAAAACCAAAATGCGACTTCTGCAACAGATGTGAGTCATGTCAAGCTGATTTTGATAAAGATACAGCGAAAAACAAAAATAAAAAAGATATTGAAGCTAGATGTAATGCCTTAAATTATTTGGTCTTTTTCTGTCTATTATTAAGCATGTTAGTTTCTAATTTGGTTTTATGGTTCACAATGGCAAATTGACTGACTTTAACTTATTTCTTGGACTATAATACTTTTCTCACCTATTATTAAAATTAAAATAAAATAATTGCACATATCTTATATCACAATAAAATATAATTTGATTGTTTTGTATAAATTCGTTCTAACATCAAATCACTTTTAATTATAGTGTGCTTTAACTGGATCTGGATGTCTTTCCAGCCCTATGAAACACTGGCGGTATTGCTTGACTGAAGCTGATAAACTTGAAAAATCAAAAAGCGAAAAAGTCAAAAAAAAAACAATTTCCAACATATTGGTTATATTTCTTCGTTCTTGTTTTTGCCTTTTTCTGCTTCGATTATCATTGATTGTCAAACAGCTTTATTCTCATCCTTATCGTTGAATCAATGAGTAGCAATCCATCCTAGTTGAGGGTGGATTGAGTCGGTATATTATTTTCAATCAAACAAGAACTCCTTTGAACAACACTTCACAAGTAAGTGAAATTCAGAGCGCATTCAAGTCATACTAGTGGTCATCAGTTTAAGAGCGTGTAAATTTAGGTTAAGACGAAAACTGAAATCACACTTTATACTCGCACCCTGCTGATATTTCAGATAACTTGCACGTTCATGCATGAGATGTACCGACTCGAACAATATCTTGTATGTTATCATGAATTTCTGAAAGTCTCGCGCAAATACAAACGTTTTAAAAATTTTCACACTTGACTGGTAGATAAGGTGTATGAACATATTTCATTATAATGAATCCATTTCTCTGACTAGTATAAACAATACCGTTCTGTCGTTCATTTAATGTGTCATCTCACAAGTTATAGAAGCTAGCTTCTGCTGATTGTAAGAAAAATAGTGAATCAAATACGCTATATTATGTATAAAATGGACACAATTTTTACAATATAACACTAGATGATTTATTTTGCTAAGCTTTTATGATGTTCAACAAGCTACAATAGGAGCAGGTTTTCTAAATTGAAGTTTCTCTAAAACGGTGTACTGAGAGGTTGACTTTTGGGGTTAAGTGTAACTTGAAACTACGGCTATCAAATGTATTTCGAATCACTTCTGACTCTTTCAATACTTATCAAGTTCAAGGGATAATTTGGCATATTCACATGATCAATGTATGATTGAGCAAGCCCTCGATTGTATGTGAAATATACCTAAAAATCTAGCACCAGCGTAATTGTCGATTAAAGTTGCTTTATTGTATGTATGATTGTGCTGGATTCAGTGTGGAGAGTCCTATGGATCAACCCAGGTTCTTATACGCCCCCTGTCCTTTCCAATATAATAAAACAAACCGAACAATATTCTGAAGAGCATTTTGTTTTTGTCAAATTTTCATATGATTATTTACAAATAGTAATGTAGCAAATTATTCAAGCTATTCAACAACATTTCTATTGGTATACAACTTGTCCGTATTACTCATCATCGAATGGAAGAACAGAAAAATACTTCGTGCTTCTTTATACGTTCTTTTTCTTCCTATGAAGAAAAATGACAACGCAAGGCATTATTCAAAAGAAAAGAAAGGTAGACACATACTGTCGAATGTTGGTGACGAAAAGAGAAAGCGTCTTCTACCCCTGTAAATAATTCTTTTTTATTCACTGAAAGAAATTGTAAGTAGACATACTATGTAGGAAAAAACCAAATGTGCGTTCGAACGTCATAAAAACAAGACTATACTAATAAACTCAGCATTTCTTTATTTTATACATTGTCTTAGAGATTTGTTCCAAAGAATTTTTTCTAGCAATATAGAAACTTAAATCGTAATTTGACTTGAAGTATTAAATCCTGGATATTCGTCGATTCCTGGAAGTATCATAAACCTTTATTCGACTACCAAGAGTGTAGTGATGCGTGAAAGTGAGACAATACAGAGCGGATCCGCATCCTACAGCTGCATTCACATCGCTAGTTTTATACTTTAAGAAAGTTTTGGGAATAGAAACAGAGTGATATCGTGACTACACAAATTACCCATATACAAGAGGAATGCATACACATATAGAACAAGTGACAAAAAACACAGATGAACATTTAGGTATTGGTAGAAGGAGAAATTAAAAGATGGACACATACGTAGAAAGGGTAAATGACTGATTATATCAGAAGATGAATGCGCTTATAAAGTAATAAAAATAAACACACACATTCAGAATGACACTTCGAAAATCAATAACCAACACTAGCAGTTTCTTTTTCTTCTACATTGAAGCTATCGAACATGCGAACACGTGAGTTATATTTTCATTATTTCTTGTTTTTAGATTATTCTATTCCTTCGTTTTTCATGCCAATCACGCCAAAGCAAGCATGGGCAGAGCTAACTAAGCTGAAATTGTTGGGTCCGACTGGTACTTCACCTGGTATATTCATTGTTGATGAATCCCCATTTCAACATGAAGAAGGAGCTGCTTCCGCAAAGTCTGAATATGATTTCATAGTCGGACGAATATTTCCAAGTTCCAATATCTACAAAGAAGGCGCCTATCGACTTGAAATGAAATTTGCACCCGGATATCCATTCAGACCACCGCAAGTGCGCTTTACTACACCTATCTATCATCCGAATGTTGATAAAGATGGTGAGCATTGTCCATAAGGAGAATATGATTGAGGAAATTGATAAAAAACTCTTCTTCTTCGAGACAGTTATATTTCACTTTTTCATGTCCGTATCTACAGGCTTAGTTTGCATCCCGATCGTGATCCAGACGGAAGAGTGGAAGGCGAATACATCTTTGGCCGATGTGGTCAAAGCTATCGTTGATGTTATTGATAATCCTAAACCAGAGTATGCGATGAACGGCGGTAGGTTTACTTTATATTCTTAGTTCTCTGATTAACCAATTCTTTCTATTTTGCTGTAGATATATACAAAGAGTATATGAACAATAGGGCCGAGTTCGAGCATAAAGCAAGAGAAATGGTGAAGAATAAAGCGTTACCTCGAAAGTGAACACGATTATTCGCTCACCCATGTTAACATTCGTCTGCAACCTTTCGAGTAATATCGCTTCTGTCAAGGATATTTGCCATGCTGCATCTTTACTTTGTGTTTCTTCTTTCTGTTTTGTCGGATCTTAGACCACGCGCTGCATTTTTTTTTGTTCTTTTTCTTTCTATTCATCCCTCTTGAAGCAAAGAAACATCACAGGAGGGAATGTTTTGAAAAAGACATGTTCTTTTTCTTTTCAATTTGTTCTCAAAAAGAGAAGTGATATTCAACGCAAAGAATAATGATAGAGTTACTAACAATTTCAATATATGTATGGTCAGCCATGTCTACATACTTGTTGTATCAAAACTTATTACACAAAAGTAAACTCGCTGATTTTCACCTTGCAAAGCGGGCAGCTTTCACATAGCAAGCGGTCATGTAAATTTTGCAATGAAAAGCAGATTTTATTTCATAGAAATGATTATAAAATGAACTGCCTTTTTGAGAAAATAATTTCCCGAAAATTTTCTCTTGCTGACCCAGAAACATTTTTCGAAAAACTTATGTTAGAAAATACACTCTGCTGGATGGCGCTAGAATCAACGATAGAGGGTCTGAGTGTGGGCATATGGGTTAAGAGAAGATCCAATAACGCATACCCATATTCATCCTCAAGCACAGTGAGAGCCATAACCGCATCGTATTCTGAATATAGTGTTTTTATAAAAAAAAAAGTTTTCAGTGCTAGTTTATAAAAATTTTCTAATTGTTTTTAGTTTTTCTAGATTTCTATCTTTTATTCTTCTGTTTTTTAAAACTCTTTTTACGTTTTAAATTTTTCTACTTTTCTAAGTTTTTGTGTTTTAAAAATTTTATGTAACTCATAAAAAATATAAATAAAATGAAAACTTTACTCGTGTCGTCTTTTTTAGCAACTGCGACGCAATTACGCTGTAATTGCGTTGCAGTTTGATAATAGCCGAAGGCATGGATGATTGTTATAGAAGTTATTTTGAGTTGGCTTCTTTTTTCGAGTACCCTCTTTACTACTTTCCAGTATGCTGGTCAATTTGTTCTGTTTTATTTTTCTTTCATTTGAATAAAAAAACTGTTTGCTAACGGCTTTTGTGTTCGAGGTTTTTTATAATCAAATACTGTATTATGCATAAATCATGAGAAAAAAGAAGTCACTTAGCGTGAGCTATTTTTGTATATTATAACTAAGTGAAACAGGGTGCCCCCCCCCCCTCTCTCTCTATACATATATATGCATGTATAGTTCTCAAGATCCTGATTAAAAGAGAAAAGTCAATATCAAAAGGTAAGCAGCTCAACTGTAAACTTTTATATGATATTGAAGATGTTTTACATTCTATTAGCAATGTTCCTATTGGTAGCTATCATCCTGATATCCAGCTTGTTAAATGCGCTAGTGAGCACGAAAGATGCTTTGCCGGGTTTAGAATATCTCTCCACTGGGTTCGATGCATTGAAAATGATCAATACCATTGATACAACGTCTTCATCAGATAAATTAAAGTATCAAATATTTGATTTCAAGGACTTGAGCGATAAAATATACACACTGAATACCGGAGGAAGACATGTTGAAAAATTTCAAATACCATCTTTAGTACATGTCACTAATATTGATATGAGAACAAAAATTAATATCGAATCAATTAGCTGCACGTATATAGATTTCTTTACAAGGTTAGGAAACCAGAAGTGCATTCATTTTTGAGACATTTTGGCATAAATGAATTATACAAGGATTCGAAATTTCTATTTGTTCTTCTATAAAATTTAGATCTCGGGTTTGCGAGGTATCGGAATCACATGGCCTTTGTAGCATGATGATCAATGTAACATCTTGAGTCTGACGAGATAAAGGCTTTGTAAACTTGAGAACCAATTCTTTAGTCAAATGGATAAAAATTTTGAATATTATATAGTTCATTTATGCCAGCTTATGTACTTTATCCTTGCTACTCGTTAATAAATTGCAAATTGTTAGCTATTTTCGGTCAATATCGTTTAATATTCAAATACCGATACCGGTTGCTCTCGTTTTACTACAAATACAATTTGGCTATCATAATACTCTAAAGACTGCCTATGAAATACTTAAGCAGTCATCGGTAGCTGTTTCCACATCAACTGATTGGTGAGGAATGTACACTATACCGTTAGGTCCAATCTATTTACTAAAGTAAGTATCATGTGGAAACGACTTGCATTCATTTGATTTCTTGAGTGAATATCTGAGTATTTCAAAACTTAAGGGTATTGAGCACTGAATTCCCAGATAAACGATAACAGTCACTGATTTCGTGTGACATATGATGATGATCCATTGCTACTAGATGTCAATTTGATTCCTGTTGACTTACCTAGATCTTATCTGTACGGTACTTTTCTTGTAAAGCCTTTTAACAATATATAGCTGGTTAAAAGAAGTTTCTGTACAAGATGGGATCTAACTCCAATAAGATATATAGCAATGAAATAAAAATCTACTTTGTATCTACTCCTCGGATTCTGTCTGCCAAACTACGACCGTTACAAACGGATCGACGTTTTAAAAGCGTCGTATTGAATTAATTCATATTTGAAACTAAACAGAGCTCATTTCGGTTCGTAAATTGTAGACTCTCAAAAGTTAGAAGGTTAGAAAACTGTCCAACAGGAATTGCTGTAGCTGGCTACATGAACATCTCAGACTTTGTAGCAGTATTAGTACCAAGCGAAAAAACTACTCACCGCCCGGTTTTTGGTGTCAATCCATGTCGAACGAACATTCCTCTCCTTCCACGCCTACTGAAAATCTAGTTTTGGATCTTTTTTGCGCAATAGTTCAAGCTTTTAAGGCAATATACCCATTTATACAGACAGACATAAAAAAATTTCCATTTTGAATGACGATCATGAGTTCCAATAGATTTTCATTTATATTTCTTGATTGTTTTCACAATTCCATAACATATTGTCAAGAAATGTTTCAATTTCTTGTTTCTTTCACTCATTTACGTGTTCATCTCTCTTACATTTTCTGAAAAAACTTTCAACGAAAAACACCCATTTCATCATGGAAAGTTGCATTTTTCGTTGTCTACAGATGATATCAGCGTCATTATTGGTGTAAATGTGGCTCTACTCTTCATCCCTACTTAAACCCGACATTCACACTCATATTCCAGCTTTGTTAACGAATGATAGATCAAATAGAATCGTGATCAATTTAACAAGCATTAATAAATTCATATCTTTTTTTTTATTTCAAAAGAGTTGTTTTGTTTTAAAATTAATAAATAAAGTGATAGACAAAATTACAAACTAATACATGATATTGCAGCTAAAGATTTTCAATCACCGCAAAAGCTTTAAACTTACACTGCGTACTGATTCAATATTAAGTAGGTTTCATAATCTATCAATATTTCGAAGAATTGATTTTTATTGAATATGAGAAAGACGAAGTTTAAAATTGTTATCCAACTTTTATATGAGTTTAAAAAAAGCAGAGAGAAAACTCGGAAATCTTCGAAATATACATAATTCAAAACGATTTTGGATATTCGTAGGTTCGATTCAATGTTCAACAAGAGCATCTCAAAATTAAGTGGTGCTCCTTCAACCGAACTTGATCAACTATTTTACAACCAACTAGTCGAAACTTTCGGTACTCACTATGTTTCATCTGTCACCGTAGGTGCAGTTGCAGAGAGGTATACTTATGTTACAAGTAGTTATTACAGCTATCGGGATAGTAGTGCAGTAACAAATGAAATTTCCATTGGTTTCGAAGTTGCACTTCTAGATAGCATAACTGTGCCTGTTGGTGCACTCGCTACTGGCCCTAGGAACAGTACAAAAAATAGTCCACCGATCGGGTTTGCATTTGCAGCTTTAGGTGGTATATCCGGTCTGTTTAGTTGGGGATCAGAAGAACGTCGATTGAACGAGGATTTCAAAAAAATTCATTGACATAGATGAAATTTCAACCCGCTATAGCATCAATTATACCTGAAGAAGCTCTTAATAAGCAGTGGAATAAATGGTTGAAACGTGCACCGCTAAGACCAACTGTAGTAAATCGAACACTATCACCGATAACAAATTTACTATTCGATTATCCACCAGAAGTTCGTCGTCATTTACAATTGACTATCGATTATTACTTATCGCATGGTACCTTACCGATACTGCAACAATTACGCGATAGTTTTGATTCATCACAGCAGCAGTCAAAAAGTACTACTAGTGGAATTGCTTCAATACCCGGAATAGATGTTGTCGGTTGTGGATACGATATATTTAATTTATCAAGTAAAAATTGTTTACTTGATTTAACGGAAAATGACAAGAACACATGGATCGATGCAAATAATAACGGTCATATTTACAAAATTCCTGACGGCTTTTTCGTATTGAGTCAGACAGATCTTTTAACCACGTATGGTACTACTAGTTTTAGTAATTTATCCGAATTATGGCAAAATTCATTTTATGCAATTGAACATGATTCATGGGGTTTCTTCGGTTTTGGTGCGTCACACAGTCGTCGAGAAATTATTGAACAATATCGATACAAGTTAGCATGGACACGTCAACAAGTACATCTGTATACATTATCGATTAGTAGTTTTCCAATACCACGTCTTCATAAACTTGCTCGTTTAGCTATCTCCAAATTACCGTCCTCATTTGATCCTCGATCGACAGAAATATGGAAACAATTCTTCGATGCTTATGGTACACATTATGTTATTCGATCAGATATTGGTGGTCTGATGTTGGGTGAAGATTATTTTGAATCATGTCTCATTGAGAAATATAATGAGACATGGATTCGAGATCAACTCTCCATACGTTACTGGTTTTTTGGAAGTATAAATGAACAAAGCGAACAACATACGTTAAAAGTTGATAAGATATTTAAACAGAATAGTATCTCCATATTAAAACTGATTGGTGGCCAAGATTTTGTTGATGTATATGATAAACAGAAGTGGCTTTCAACTGTTAAGAATCGACCACAACCTGTATCATATCAGCTTGCTCCGATCTACACACTACTATCCGAAGGTCCTCAACGCAAAGCTCTTGAACAAGCTACAATATATTTTCGCTCATCTGCTGTTAATGAATCAACTCCTTATATTCAACGCTTACAAAATTCTCCTTTTACATCTCCTTTACCAAAACTTGAATGTTCAGTAGCACAATTACGAAAGAAGAGAGCTAAAGTGCAGTAGTACCGCAATATGAAAAATAAATCTAATTTCTTTTTTTAAAATATTTGTGATTATTTTCAACCTACAATACAATATCGATTTGACTCATATTTCAGTTTTCGGTCTCCATAGATTACAATCAATAATCCATGGAACACAAAATAATATATAATTGAGCTTGAATATTTGCCTTATTTTTATAGAAATCTTATTTTGAAAAATTATCGTGTAATTCAAGTACAAAATCTGGTTGTATACATTATTTCAACATATATCGAACAATTTCTGGACAGATAAGGATAAAACATGGAAAGTAACTAAACTGGCTCCAGCAAACTGGCATATGATACATACAGCTTTGTATTTAGCACGTGTGTCAGTTATCTTAACCTTCTTTTTGGACGCTCTTCTTTCTCACAATAGAACTGTGAGATACATTCTTATCTTGTTCTTCAAGTATACCACGAACGTGCCGTGCGAGCCAACTATAATACTTTTATGTAGTGCTTTACGTATATTAAAAGGAAAGAAAGCGCTTTTGAGGGATACTTTCAAATAGTATTTAAACACGTTTTATACATTATTGTTTTCATTTGAGATAAAACTTAATTTTTATTATTTTTTCTCGTGAAATGTTGTCTCCAAAAATTTCTATTGGCAATTACTTACTTCGACGATTGAAGTGTTTAGGCATTGACGTTATCTTCGGAGTACCCGGTGATTATAACTTGGTACAGTAACTCTAAGTTCTGTAATGTTTTCTTATCTAAATTTGATTACTCTTGCTTTTCTTCTAGCCATTTCTTGATCAGATTGAAGGTGAGATTTCAAATGAATATTATGTTCATTCATACTCTTTATTTTGTGAAAGATTTTGATGGTATTGAATGGGGTAATAACTGCAATGAACTGAATGCATCCTTTGCTGCCGATGGATACGCTCGTATTCGAGGCATTGGCGTAAGTTGATCTGTCACTATGTACAGAATATTCTATCATTTTTTTGCCTTGAATGTTGTTATGCAGGCTCTTGTTACAACATTCGGTGTCGGTGAACTCTCAGCTATAAATGGTAAGATTGTATTGGATTGTATTTTTTTTTGAAAATACGATTTTATATCGAAAGGTATTGCTGGCTCATATGCTGAAATGGTACCAGTGGTACATATTGTTGGAACACCTTCAATTGCATCGCAGTTCAGCGGTGCTATTATTCATCACACACTTGGTAATAACGATTTTCGAGTTTTTGCAAACATGTATAAAGAAATTACAGTAAATAATTTTTCTAAATATTATGTAAGTATTTATAAACATTTCCATAGATTGCTCAAACAAATTTAACAAGAAAAAATGCTGCGGAAGAGATTGATCGTGTTCTTACCCAATGGTATTATTCTTCATTGTGACAAAATAATCGTAGATAGTTAATTTTCATGTTTAGTTGGCTTAAAGGTCGACCAATTTATATTGGTTTTCCTGTAGATCTTAGTAGTTATGAAATCAATGTTAATCCCTTGTTGATTAAACCACTCAATTTATCTATTACATGCAATCCAAAAGATGATCATCAAGCAGCACTTGAAACTGTACTTGGTCTTGTAAAAAAGGCTGAAAATATAATTGTTATTGTTGATGCGTAAGAAATACAATTATCTTAATTTTCATTCTTTCATCGTCATCATAATATTATTATATTTTTCATTATTAGATGTGCTGTTCGACATGAAATGATTGAAAAAGTTTTAAGATTTATCGAACATACTCAATTACCTGTTTATGTAACACCTATGGCTAAAGGTAGTATTGATGAAAATCATTTACAATTTCGTGGTGTTTTTGCTGGAAATTCTTCAACAGAACGAGTACAAAAAGAAGTTTATAGTGCAGATCTTATTCTTTCCATTGGCTCATTGAAGACCGATGTTAATACAGGTGGTTTTACGTATCGCTTATCAAAGAAAAAGACTATTGGTAGTTTTTCTTTTATATAAAATTGTTTATTAATTTCATTGATCTATAGAATTTCAAACATATCATACCAAAGTTTTCTATGCTATATATGATAAAGTTGATATGCGTGAACTTTTGCCTGATTTAACTGAACATTGGCCAATTGATATTATTCATCCATATGATGGTAAACCATACGATATTGAAAAGCCAATATTAGATCCTAAGTATCAAGATGAAATTCAACATGAATATTTTTGGAATAAACTACCAGATTTTATTCCAGAAAATTCGATTATTATTGCTGAAACTGGAACAGCTGAATTTGGTGAATTTTAATCGAAGTGAATTTTATTTGTAACACGAAATTATATAATATTTTAGGTGTTTTTAATATGCGTGCACCGCGAGGTGTGACATTTTTAACACAAATATTATGGAGTTCAATCGGTTATTCAATTGGTGCTGCTTTAGGTGCAGCATTAGCTGGAAAAGATGCGAATCGTCGAGTTTTTCTTTTAGTTGGAGATGGCTCTTTTCAAGTAAGAAATTGGAAGTTGAGAAAAAAAACAAAGTAATAAACTTTTCTTTTAGGTTGCATGCCAAGAAATATCATCTATGTTACGATTTAAAACTAATTTAGTGATTATTTTATTGAATAATGATGGTTATACAATTGAAAAACTTCTTCATAGTCCAGATTATGCTTATAATAATATTCAAATGTGGCGTTATCATAAGAGTTTTGAATATTTTGGTGATGGATTAAAACAAAATCGAGAACAAGCCATCACTGGTTTTGCTGGTATAGTTAAAAGTCAAGATGAATTTGAAAAAGCTATGACACAAGTATTAAAAGAAACTGATAGAATTCATTTTGTCGAAGTTGTTATGTCACCAATGGATGCACCGAAAAGTTTAATAATTACTATTGAAGGTATGAGAGAATACAAGAAACATGAACGAGAAGTACAAGAATAATTTTCAACAAACTAAATCAACAGCTATTAATATTTTTAAACACTTCTTCGTCATCTTCCCTATAGTGAATCATGTTTTTTTTATTAACTTATTTGTTATTGTTTTAGAAGGTTCTTTTTTTCTATTTTGATTAATAAATTTATCGTAGTCATTAAGAATTTCGACCGAATTACCGAAATTATTACACATAAATTTTTCTTAAATGAATTTCAAGGCAAAGTCGTTAAATAAATTTCAAAACAGAATGCGGATCTGTAACATTTGGGTGGGTGTACAGTGTGGGTGTGGGTAGAAAGAAGATCCCAAATACATTGACACCTCTCGCACACCCACACCCTCCTTGATGCATCAAATAAGCACCATGAGAGTGTGGGTGTGAATGAATCTAGAGAACTTCCACACCGACACCCATCCCGATAAAAAAAATAATTAAAAGAACGAAAATCTAGCATGAGCATATGGACCAGTTCCTTTGAAATAGTAAGATGTGTTCTTAATTATCTAACTAATAATTGTTTCCTATTGTATGATTCGATGTACCTCTTCAATGATATCCATATATGTCCCTTATTTGTTGGAGTCATTCAAAAGCTACCCACAGATAAGACCAAACATCACAGATGGAATCGTACCCACAAACAAAAATGTACCCACATATAAGAGATACTTACATAAAACGTTGTCCACAAACAACAATGGCTTCATCAAACGAAGAATCAGTCAAGGCTGAAATACTTGAGCCAACGGATAATCTATTATCGAAACGTTACATTGGTTTAGAAAAGAATGTTTGGTAAAAGAATTTTTAAGGAATTCTTTATATACCGATACGTAAGATGAAATATTTTTTTTTAGGGCTGAATTTATGACATTGGCTGTGCAACATAAAGCTGTTAATCTTGGTCTAGGCTTCACAGATTATGAACCACCACAATATTTTCTGGACATTTATGATGAAACAGTTCGGGAGCATAATGTATTCTTACATCAATATACTCGTGGATTTGTAAGTTGGATTTCAATAAAAATTTTCCTCCAATCTTCATTGATACAATAGGGCCACCGACGATTAGTCGAAGCAATATCAAATCTATATTCATCATTTTTCAACCGACAAATCGATCCATTCAATGAAATTCTTGTAGTTGGCGGAGCCTATGCATCATTATTCAATGCCATTCATGGTCTTATTAATACTGGTGATGAAGTAAACATTGAAATATTAGCTTTCTAAAAGTTTTAAAAATTCAAAGTATCTATAGGTAATTATTATTGAACCATTTTTTGATTGTTATGAACCAATGGTTCGTTCAGCTGGTGGAACTATTCGACATGTACCACTGCGGCCAGTAATGTTTTAATGATTTCTTTGTTTTTAATTTCTTCAATAATTTATTGTAGAAATCAGAGTCAACCAAGCAAAATATATCATCGAGTTCAGATTGGATGCTTGATGAAAATGAATTAGACTCAATGTTTAATTCACATACACGTCTCATTATATTAAATACGCCAAATAATCCTCTCGGAAAAGTATACTTTTTTCATTCAGAAAAAAAAATACATAAAAATTTCATTTTTTTTTCAAGGTATTTACACTCGAAGAACTTAAACACATTGCACATTTATGCCAGAAACACAATGTTATTTGCATTTCAGATGAGGTTTATGAATGGATAACATATGATAATGATAAAAAACATATTCGCATAGCAACATTACCTAATATGTGGCAAAGAACACTAACAGTAGGAAGTGCAGGTAAAACATTCTCATCAACAGGTCTCAAATTAGGTTGGGCAATTGGACCAAAAAGTCTGATTCGTTTATGTCAAATTGTTCATCAAGTAATTTAGCCTGTGAAATTTGTATTTAAAAATGTAGACATATGATTTATTAGCATTCAGTTTTCATATGTCCAACGTTATCTCAAGAAGTTGTTGCACGTTGTTTTGAATATGAATTAAAACGTTTAAATTCTGCCGAATGTTATTTGAATTCAGTATCAAATGAATTTCTTGAAAAACATAATCAATTTGCTGAAGTTTTAAAAGAATGTGGAATGAAACCAATTGTGCCTGATGGAGGATATTTTTTATTGGCTGATTTTTCTCAATTCGGTTTGTTTTTAAACTCTATTCTTATTTTTAAGAAACATTATTCTTTATGTTTACACAATGAATAGCCAATGATGATCGATTTCAATCAGAAGAAAATAATAAAAAAGATTTTAAATTTGTTCGATATTTAATAAAAGAAAAAGTAGATAAATCAGAAAATTGAAAAACAGTAAGAAAATTATTTTATTTTGTTTTAGCAACTTGCAGCGATTCCTGCTTCAGTGTTTTATACGAAAAATCATCAATATTTAGGAGAAAATTATATTCGATTTTGTTTTGCTAAAGTAAATTGAATCACAAATTCTTTTTTTTGTTCATATTCTGCATTCTAGAAAGCCGAAACATTGGAAAAAGCAGCTAGAATTCTGCAAACGCTAAAAATTGATTAGATTAATTTACTTTTTCTTAATATTGTTATGGCATAAATGGTATCATTCCAGTTTTATTTTAGATTATGGGCTGAAGTTTATTTTTTTTTAAAATTAATCTGTTTCAATCATATGGTCACAAAATTATCCCTTAGTTAAAGATAATATTAGAAAATCATTCAATAAATGATAGAAATATACAAAAAAAAACATATACTAAGATAGTACAAAGTGACTTTTTGATATCATGAACATATGCAAAGGTTGTGG